AGATCCCGCAGAGCACGCTTTACACCCCTGCTCGAGATACGTCTCCTCAGGTCAGTTTAGAAACTATGCTTCTGTTAAAGTAGCTTCAGCTACAATAGATGAAGCCAACGCTCCTTCAAACAGAAGGAAAACGGGAGAAGTCAAAGCAGCAGAGAAGGTGATTTCTTTTTAAAACATGTATATTTAGAACTGTAACGCTTACAATTTCATTAAACAATCTTAGTACAATGTGTTTAATCTAACAGTATATTACAGAACAATGTGAAAAATGATTTAATAGCAAACCATGAAAATGGAATTCATTATAATACCTGCAGTGTCAAAGTCACTAACTTGTTACCTTTTCCAGTCAAAGAATCCCAGCAGTCATTCACACTAAATGATGCTTTGGGTTTTATCCAGAATAAAATGGTATGGTTTCCACAGAGAAAGGGCATTCCTTCACAGAAAGAAGATGCATAACAAGAACGTTTTCAGCTAACAGGTCTACTTTATACATATATTTAGACATATTGGGGTTTTTTTAATTAATAATAATTTTTTTAAAAAAAATGTTTAGACCAGTGCAGGGTGCCTATTAATTTTTCAACTTAATTGCAGTTCTTTTTTGAAAGAGGGTTTGGTTTTTTCCTTCCCCTTTACAATTTAGCAGAACCTGAGTTTAGAAAAAAACCACCCACACAAAACAACAATGAACTTGTCTAATGAGCAGTTCCTCACTTTAACTTTACTGACAAGTATTTGATATGGGACAGTTTTCCTCTGTGGAGTCTGTTGACAACGCACCATTATAGATCTGCAAGTAGAAAAGGTCATTCTCACATTAAATGCACAAGTTGCAATATCAGAAGCAGGACATCAGAAGGAGTTGTAATTTTTCCAGTCACAGGTGGATTTGCAACATTCACAAAAATTACACTTTTTTTTTTTACATTTTTTTATATTTACATTTCAGATATAAATAATGAAGTTAAGTTACATGTTTTAATTTTGCTTCACAATTATTCTACATCTGCAAGCTTTCCTATATCAAACCAACCTCTTTCTTCCATCATGAATGCAGAAGTCTGGCCTCTAATCAGCAATAATTACACTAAGCCTTTATGATGAAAGGTTGACTGTTCAAGTATCATATCATACTGAAATTTTTGCCCCAATTTAAAAATTGGGGCAGCAAACCAAGCCACTTAGAAATGGTAATAAAAGAAATTAATCTGGGAACTCAATAAGCCAAATAATTTATTATTAAATTCTATCAATATCTTTCTTTGGTAAGAACTATGCAAGAGGATGACCCAACCCCCACCCCCCAAAAAATCATATAATATGTGACATCACAGTGTCTACTCTGTGAAGGAGAAAGCCTCAAAAAATTAAGGAATTTTGTTCAGTTAAGATTGTTTATAGCAGTAGCTCTTCCATGCATTTAAGTATGCAAACGATGGAAGTTTAATATAAAATTGCAATGGCAGGAATTAACAACGATAAAACCAACAAAACAAAAAACCCAAACAGAAAGCAACTATTACACCAGTGAATGTGCTGTTGTATGCTTTGTTGTGTTTCTGGCACATGTGTGGAAAAGCCTGTAAATTATTACATAAAAATCCAAGACTTGGATAATTATATCATCCAACTCTAAACTCTAGAATATGTAGGAAGCATGAAACAAATCTCTCAGCTGCCAGACAAAAATAAAGAAGTGGTCCAAATATTTGGATTTTTTGTTTGTGTTGCCCTGTGTTGTGATGCAGGATGTGACAGAAGGGAGAAAACCCAATAGCTTACACAAAACATACTAAAGTGGCAATATAAACTAGCTGACACAAGCTTCACTGTACATTTAAATTGATACAATTGTCTGGTGCTTCCATGGCCAGTACATGTCAAGTGCCATAGGTCTCCTTAGAGTTAGAATGTTACAACAAAGACTAATCAGGTCATAATCCTTTAAAGTGCTTTCATATCCAGTTTCTAACGGGTTTTGTTTTCTGTGTTTTCATACCGAGTTGTCACGTGATATTGACTTCCAGAACATGGTCGTCCTTGCTGGGAATGACAAGTATTTGCATACCCGTGCTGCAGTTGAAGACCTGACCGGATGAAAAGGATTGCAGACGAGGCATTGGCAAACCTTTGTGTTCCCCGCTAGCTGCAGAATGCAAGCTACCTCTGCTCCTTATGCTGCTGCTGTCAGCTTGATCATCCACATTCTTGTCCACAGAGAGGTTATCATTTTCAATCCAGCTATCTGTTTGAAAGAAAAACCCACAGTTTTGTTCTATGGAGTGATGAAACAACTTAAAAACTCGTTCAGAGCTCAGACGCACAGTCAACTTACCACACGTGAACAGTTACTGATCATCTCTGCTGAGGTAACAGCCTGTGCACACTTTTGGCCAGCAGCAGATGTAAGAGAGTGAATTATATTGGTTTCTAAGGAAAATGTAAGTAGCATTACCTCATATTTGGCACAGACTGGAAGGGTACACACTGGCAGTTCCTGGAGCTCTGCTGACAAACTGTAAGTTGCTTGTACGAGTGAATTCCCACTACAGCTCTGGGACTACTCAACAGTATAGAAAAATATTCTAGGTGGCTGTGGTAATTTAAACTCCTCATCTAATCTGGTTTATATGCCACAAGTTTTCAGCACTTCTTTTATTTCGTACTTAATCCTTTCAAAAACTGGGAAAAAATTTCAAAGCTATTGAAGACACAGTAGATGTGCAGTTTACAGGCGATGAAACCGCAGGATTAGAGGGTTATCAAATAGTTTTCACTTGATTATAAATCCAGTGATAACTAATTTGCACGCTAATCTTTAAATGCATTGTTTTCTTATATTTCCTTTATTATTCCTCCTCACAGATTAAGGCTGCAACTCGAATTCAAAGTTCCCATCAGAGTAAGTTTAAAATCAGAACTGTGAGCGAAGGTAAGTAACAAAGACACCTAGGAGTATTTGGTCATTATACTTCCTCGCCTGGCTTTTCTCTTTACGCGAGAACACGGGAGAAGCAGAATCATTTCTGTAAGTAGCCATGTAGTCAAGATAGCTTTACCAGCATCAAGTTGCATGGAGTGAGCAGAATGGTGAGGGAGGTATTTAAACAGTCTGACATCAGGAAAAGGTAGATATCCAGCAAACAGTGGCATCACTTCCATGTGGACTTTGTGAGTTGCTCGAGCTGCTACAGGCATAGATATGACTCCAGAACTTTTTCCACAGACTGCCCAGTTACTACTGTTGTCAACAACTGCAAGAATAAAGAGGAAACACTATAAAGATATTTTCTAAAAAATGGAGACACCCTCAATATAGTTTTAGAGCACTTTTAAAATCAGTATTTTAGCAACATCTAAAAGCCCACCAGCTTTTCTGTCTGAAGAGCTGTGCAAGGTAAGAAAACAGCCCTACGCGAAAGGGCCCACAGCTGGGCCTCAAGCAAGTATCCAGTCAGTCTGAACAGCATTTGAAGACAGATTAATGAGGAAAAAATAAAAGAGTCTCAGTTTAGCGAAATGAAAACTGCTTCACTGAGCAGTCATACTCACAATACAAGAATATATGCCATAGAAAGCCTGGCAGGTGTCATTATCAAAACAAAACTACTGGGGAATTTTGTCAATATGCTTGAGAAAAATATTCTTACCTTCATACATAAGTTTTGTTGTGCAATATCCATCCGATTCTGTTAATGCTTCATCTCTGTCAACCTCCGAGAGGTCAACAAGTCGGGTAATTGACACCTCTAAAGAGCAGAGTGAGCCTGTTTTACAATACTCTGCCCCCAGTGGTGGAAAAATTTCAGTTTTCACATGATACAATGTCTGTCAGGAAGAAAACAGTGCTGTTACCAAGAAAAAAGGGGCATTTTACTTGTGTTTAAACTGAACTGGACAACTGATACAGTACAGTCTTAACTTTACATTTAACATCCACATCCTATTAAATCTTTTTAATGCAAGACTCAGTTATAAGTAATGTTCACTTCATTATCTTGCTCAGTTTGATGAAATAATCAAACCAAATTTGATTCAATCTATTTTTAATACCAGCAGCAAGCATATCATTTTCCCCTCCACTTCTGTGCTTTATCTCAGCCTTTCAATGCTTCTGAATGGACACCAATCTTCTATTTAGCAAACTTTCATTAGTTTCTTGGCTCCTCACTCTCCAGACACATCACTCAAATTCTGAGTAATACCGGAGAACTCCTTTATCACTCTTACTATCACAGTCCCCAGAATAACGATGCCCAAATTATCAAAGAGCTAATTTTTAATTACTACAAAATTTTATTTCTACCAAAACTCCCCACTGTTCAATGCAGTTAGTTCTCTTTAAAAACTCCAGAAAGATGCTGATACGGGTGCCAGCAAGTGCTAATTACATACCAGTAGGTAAACAAATACCCAAAATATTGCTCAATGCCAGTTTGTAATAAGCAAGGAGAAAACACAGCAACACTGAAGACACTGAAGGATTTGACCAAATGAGGGTCTTCTCATGTTGCTACTTTTTACCCAAGCATCAAAAAGGGTAACACAAGACTGAATTTAGAGATGACATTAAATAATGTTGATAGAATTCCTTTAATAGGAAGTTATATCTAGCCTATAAGCTTCCTAGCTGATCAAAGGAATAAAGTCTTTGTCCATAAAGGGAAAGAAGAAACATTTAAGATAATGGCCCAGAAAACACTAAATATTTCATTAGAGGAGCTCATCTCAAGCACTACAAAAAACAACTCAAATGCTTTCACTAGCAAAGATTTTTTGGAAATTGCAATTTGCTTTGGAGAGCACAGTCTTAAGCCAGCATGGAAAAAGCAGCTCCATAATCTAAGGACAGTCTCCATGGCACAAGCCCAGGAAGGCAAAAACACAGAAAAAAAATGAAGCAAGATGAAGGACGCTTCGTGCAAGTGTTATGTCTTGAAGCCCCCCACCGTTTCCAGTGGCAAGTGTATGATTCCACCATATCACATCAGGCCTGCTTCAGTTCTATCGTTCAACAGACTGGCTTTCCAATGATTCTAAGTAGGTATCAATCTCATTATGTTAACAGAAGTTTTCTAATGTATTGCTTGACTTTCCCTTTCCATATATTAGGAAACCATATTCCATTAACACATGCTATACTTAGAAGAGTACTTACAAAAAAATTTTCCACTTGGAATTCATAAGTGAAGGGCTTCAGGGAAAAAGACTGTTCTTCAGAGGTAGCTGGACAAAAGCTGACTGAAAACAGGCACTGCAAGGAGAGAGGAAGGTCTTTTGTCCACTTCAATTCCCATACAAAGAATATTGATTGCTTACTGTATATGACCTGAAAGAGAATGTTTATAGTGTTAGCTCCTTCCTTCCTCTGAGAAGGAAGTGGAAATGCACATACATATGTTTGTCTGTTCTGATATTAATATAGTTTATAAAAACAAATTACCTCTTTAATGTTAAATAAACCATGAGGGAAAACATGCAACCAAAATAACTAACAGTGAATTTTTTTAACAATGCATATTAATTAAAAGGAAGGATACATTTCACTGTCAGAATCAATGTTTCAAAATTGAACACTTCACATACATCTGAAAAATATTTTATTCAAAAGTCAAATTTAATAAAGATATTAATAATGTTTGTATATAGTTTTCCTAGGTATCAAGGATGACAAATTTAATATCACCTCCAGACAAGGCTGAAAAGAAACTTCAAGGGGACTGTTCTGCAACTTAACTCATTTACAGCTGTATTGAATTGGAAAACAGTCTCTGCCTGATTTTTTTTCCTAAAACCTAGTGACAAACTGCAGCTCTAAGATGAACAAATTAAATGTTAACAGTGACATAAATGATATTACATTTGCATAGCTTTTGTTTAAACAAGTATGTTGTGCTTTGCACAAGGCAAACGGACAAGTTTGAAAACTTATCTAATAATCTTTGCAAGTTTTAGAATTTAATCTGAGATCCATGAGTGTAAATGCCTTCTACAGAATCTTTAAGAATCCCAGTTACTCAGAGGACCTCAAAGGTCTGACCTAACATCAGCTATCAGCCTTACTACAAAATCTATGGGCAGAAGTGCTAATAATTTCACTAACAAGAACTTCCATCTAGCTGTCCTGCCAACCAGCTCATAAACCACTAAGTGAATTTTACCTGTTGAGATTCAGGGTTCAGAGGTACCAACTGCAAATCTGTACAGTCAGCAGAATTTTTTAAGCTGTTGTCTGAAAGCTGGAAGCAGAGTTCTGACAAATTCTGTACACAGACTTGCACATATTTCCTGAAAAACATGACACAGTTTGTTCAACAAAATTTGAATAGTTACATTGAAAGAGTACATGTCCATAAAATCGTTTTCAAAGTGCAGAGCTCAAACAAAACCAGAATGGCAGGTATATTTGTTTCTTTCAATCTATTCCTCAATATTTATGAGTCTGTAGGAACAAGGCTGTAAAACATCCTCTTTCATATTAAACAAAAACAAACAACTACACAGAAATAGGCTCTCTTGGTTTATCTTGTGGTCCTATTTCTAAAATAGCTGAAACCACAAATTTCTTTTATTGTTATGAAAGAACACTTCCAATGGGAAGCTGTGTAAGATAACCAAAGCCCAACTTAAAAAAAAAAAAGGCTGCTATAAATATTACTTATGAAACTCCAGCTCCATATTTTGTAAGAAGAAAGAAACAATAAATACTTAATGAGTACATTACCGTTTGCCAGCTGACAATAAGGAATGCTTGGCATTAAAAGGTATGCAGAATGTTAATGCAATAATAGTGGAGTAAATCGACCAAGGACAATCAATGGTTACCTAAAGGAAAAAGGGAACAAAGTTCTTATTCGTAATGGTCTTTGGGATAACGATTTTGCTTTTCTTCTCATTTCTAAGCAAAACTTTTCTCAGCAAGTATCTATATCTAATGCATCCAGCAGGGGAAGAAGAAGAAAAAAAAAAAAAAAACAAACAACCAACCCACAACAGTATGTCAAAAACTAATCAGACAAAGTATTAGATTTTTGTTTTCTTCTTTCTTCTCAAAGAAGCTTTTCCTGTGGAAACTGACATACCCAGTTCTGAAGACTAGAAATAAAAGGAAGGGGAGTAGAAGAAAGAAAAGATAAAAGGACATCAACAATACCAATAGCATCTTAATTCTATAATCTGGAAATGGTCACTATCAAATAAATTGCTATAAGATCTATTACTGAAATGTCTTTGTAATACTTTAATATATCAAATCCAAGCTCAAAATATTTTTTAAAAAGTAGTTAATGTATATTTAATTTGAAGTGGCACGCTTAACTGAAGAATTTCTCCTGAAGTGAATGCTGCCATTCTTCCAAGCATATTTATTTAACAACCTATTTTTATATGCAGAGGAAAAAAAAATTGTCACATCACATTTTAGCAGTGTTAGCCTTTAGCTATTCCTTTTTTACCCAACTCTTCGCACACAAGGATACATGGCAGCACACTTGGTCAGTTTTAACAAGGAGTAACACTGTGAAAGGTGATGGTTTCAAGATCATTTTGCTGTCAGCTGAAGAGCTTCTGTCCATACTGCTTATTTTATTCACCCTTCATAACAAACATTAAGAGGAAAAGTTACCTCCAACTAAATAACATGACAGCTTGAAACACTACAGTGTTAAGTACCTTGACACAGCATACAAATTCTTTGCAAGTGGAAGAAATATCTTTCCCATGAGTCAGAAGGGAGAATTTAAAGACCACCATGCCACTTTTTACAAAGACACAGGTATCCTTCAACCTATATAGGATAGGTTCTGCGAATGTTAGAACATTAAAACTCAGATTACTAGCCAGCAGAACAGTTGGCAATATAGTAAACATAGTGTGTATTTCTGGTTATATTTATGTTTTCTTTACAATTATAGTATTTGCTATGATTTTTGCCTGTACATCTTTAAGGGAAAATTAGTTCAATGCAAGCAGGTTGCCCCCTCATCACCACCACTTCTATCTTGTGAAGTGTATGCCCCTGTGATCAAATACATTTCATAATAAAAATAATAAATTACATCTTACTTTTTGGTCAACAGTAGCCATGCAGTTGTCCTGTTTCTGCTTCTCTCTGTTTTTTCTGTGAACTTCTTTATTTGTAGTATTTTCTTTCTCCACTGCAGGTTCTGTGGCTGATGGCAAATACATGACTTCTAGCTCAAATTCAATCACATGATATGCAGGAGCTACCGGCAAACTGATGCTTGTGATCTTTTCAGAAGACTGAATCCTTAATGATGATTCTGAGATCTTTTCTATAGTTGTGTGGAATGGGGAAAAAAGTAGTTTTAAAACAACTAACACATTCATCCCTTCCCTATTTTCATTTTAATCTGTAACTAAGTAATGAAACTAGCCTAAAAAGCTAAGTGTCATAGAAAAACATGTGGTGCCATAACCATTTCCTAGCAAGACCTCCATGCTTGCAAAAACAATGAGAAACCATGTTGTTTAACTCCACGGTAACCTCTTCAAATGACCTATAATCTCCACATCTTAAATACCACTGCTGTTCACAATTCCCCAGTAGTAACACTCTATCCTTAAACTGCAGGAAGGTAACCACCACATTCCATGTAGTAATCCCTTCCAATGTTCAAGAAAGGACTAAGAGGACAATTTGATAACAAGCTTCAAACTAGCTAAAGAGCTACTTTAGTCCATCATATGACACCCACTGAAGGTTTATACAACATCCTGCACCTCCTTAGTCTCATAATTTCACTTCAAGCAAACTTACAACTTATGGAAACATATGCATCGGTATTCTTGGTCACCATTCAGCATCTATCTTTAAAATACTACACATGGGTGCCTCTGTACAGTCTATTTTCATGTGAATTAGCACTGTTTTTCATGTTCATTAGGATATTCTATTTTCATGCTCGTTCCATTTATGTAAAAGTTGCTCATATTTGAGAACTGAGGAGACTATACAGTACTTATGCTCAGAAAAAAAAAAGGAACTAGGATGTCATGTTTAAATGAAACACTGGCCAAAGGAAATGCTCCATTTACAGAGCACTATGTAAAAACCTACTTCACAATAAAAATGGTCTAGTTAAAACATAGCCCATGTAGTGGTAAGATCACCATGATTCACCTGGAAATCATGACAGATGCTCACTTCAGCAGTCTCACCACACCTACTGAATTTCATCCATGAAATTAAAAGTTGTCCAGCTATATTTGCTGAAAAGTTTATACTACCACTTTGGGGGTGAAAGTTTTAAGACCTTTCTTGCACTGAAGTACTCAGCTGCAAGTCCCTAGAATTGTTCTTAGTAATGACTATTGAAAAAGACAGCGTCAGTGTTCTTAATATTGTAAGTACAGGTTTACTTCAGGATTACTGAATTTTCAGCCACTTAAAGATTATTGATTTTTACTTCATTGCTTACCTCTGGTGTTGGAATAGATCACTGCCTTGCTGTCTGGGTGGTACAGAATAGGCATGGCATCCGCATTACTGAGCTGCAAAGTGTCACCATTCTTCATGGTGTAGTGACCAGTAGTCACTGTGAATTTCACCTTCTGGGGAATGCCGGCCAAAAGGCTATCTGAAGAAGAAAACAGAAACTGTTAACAGATTCCGGTACTCCTCAGTAGATGGTCACAATGCAGTGCTAAGGCCTGTTAGCCATATCCCCAGAAAATTTGTCACACGTTAGGGTATCTTAAAGCGTGGGGTTTTGGTGTCATGCAACACATTAAACCTAGCTCAGATACACTGGTGCGGAGAAACTGGTTGTTTCAACTCCAGTGACCAAAACCACTGTTTCTTGGACAGCTTAGGTTAGCTGGCTCACATACTTTGTGGCTCTGGCAGCACAGAGCTCAGTAAAATACAATAATCCCAAAGAATTGGCTATGCTTTTTGTTAAGTTCTCCAGGTTGTAGACAGCTACGTATTTTTGCACCTATGATGCCAGTCATACCCACATGCTCTGTCTACATAATCAAGGTAACAAGAAAGCCAGTATGCACACAGACTCTCAAATATCTGAATCGCAACCATCCATTTCATAGGAGTAGCTAATTTGATAAATGCCCAATATGCCTGTCCTTCCTTCACTATACTTTGCAACCCCTGTAACAGGATGGGTAGCACAAAATGCGTATTAACTCAAGTACCTCAGTTATTAGCCTGGAAACAAAATCACTATTAATTTCCATTTATAAACTTCAAAAAACTCTACAAGTAATGCTCAGCTGTCCATGTTTCCTGACTGAAACCAATGGATGTATTCAGTATTAACTTTTAGTAAGTTTATATAATCACCTCTAGTAGAGAATCCCAGTCCTTATGTGTTTCTCATAAAAACCAAAGGGACTGCAGGATCACAGAACTAACTAATAAGGAGCTCAGTCCATTACAAATTTAAATACTCACTTCTCCTAAATGGTGTGGCAGCTCAAATCATACCTGATATTTAAGTGATGCTACATGTTCAAATTCATCTTCAAAAGCAACACTACGTGTTTCAGAGCCAAGCACTGGAATTAGTTGTTGAAAACTAGCCATCATTGACAGAGCATGCTTGATGGGTAATTTGAGAAGTGAGAGTTTATTTTAGACTCAAAATTAAGAGTAAGGCAAAAAACATCTGAATAATATTCAAGCCAGAAAACACTTTAGTCCCACGAGAGCAGAACAGAAATCATCAAAACCACTTCAGCACAGCCACTGTACCTACCAGTCATCGGTTCCACTTTCAGCTGGGGCTCCTGAGCATATACATCATACTGCACAATTGGGTAAATATGAAGAAGGACAAACTGTACTTTTCCCACTGAAGTGCACAGTTGCCTGAGCGTGTATGTCCCAGGTTCTTTGGCCTTTGAAGAAAACATTTGAATGGATTTTTCAATTTAGGAAATACTTCAAGAACAAACCCTCTACTAAAGAACAGCATGTTTTCAGCTCGTTTTCATCAGATACTTCGCATTTGTAAATTAAAACAACAGACTTGTTCTCTAAGTGACAAGATTTTCAAAGGCACACCTTTTGCCCCATTAAGACAGAAGCTCTATAGTGCTGGCTGATTCAAGAAACGTCATAAGTAACAAGTAACAATAATCAGAGTAACTAATTTAGTAGCTATGCTGTCAAATTCTTATTTTGGGGTGCTTTTTGTCTTGTTTGTCGGGTGGGTTCCCCCCCCCAACTGCCACATACATTAAAATATAATTATATTTATTAAGTACTGAAATGATATAGCAAGCAGTGAAACGCTTATTTGGCTAACAGTCATAAAATCCTACAACACTTATATACGGCACAGCTTTCAGCTGAAGCTATCAATTTCACACACTCCCCACTCCACACCCTGTGTGAATGCTTACGAAAAAGTAATACATACATACTTAATTTTAAACTCTTCCCTTATTCTGAATAATGGAATTCTGGATGTTTTTTGATAACATTATAAAAAACAAATCTGTAACATCTGCTAGTATATTTATTCTTAATTCTATTTGCTCTTAGCTACTACTGCTACGGAATGGGAAACGTTTTCTTTTTCCATGTGCCATTTTACCAAGTGTAATACATAAATATTGATGCTGGGTATAATTAAATCTAAAGAATAAGATTAGAAGTTATGGAGAAAAGCTGTAACAACTTAACATTCAAACCTCACTTACACAATTATTTACAAAGCAAATCCTGACTGAAAGTCAGTATTATGCATTTTGACATTAAAGTCACTAACTTTTATCCCCTGAATACTTTATAAACAGAAAAGCATGAGTAAAGTCTTTCATTTTTTACATATATATATAGATATATATATACACACACACACACTTTAAACCTCAACATGGGATGGGAATATCAGTCTGAAGAATTTAGGTACTGCTTTCTGATGTCTTTTAAAGCTTGAAAAAATACACTGGAAGACTGATATCAGTATAAATAATGCTAATCATCAGTCTGAGATGTACAGAGAGAATGAAACTCCCTCTGCATCTTAGAAGCACAGTCATTCCTCTTTCTGCAAAAGTAATGCAATTAAGCGTTACTGTAAGAAAATTTAGAAAACAAGTTGACAGTAGTTTCTATCCTCTGGTCAGCTATGCAAACCAGTAGAAGTGACAAAGTATACTACTACAATGATAATGGATTTTTAGTAAATATTTTGTAAATACTGTAGCTCAAATCTAGAGAAGCTTTCATCATGTTATCTAGTAATACACTATCAAAATTATAACATATTCAGATTTTCCCTTTAAGGACAGGTAAGGCATGCTTTCAACAACTGTATAAAGATAAGTAGGATTCACACTGAGCAGTCTTCCCATCCAACGTTCTTTCAAGAAAGAAAGGTTGGGAAAAAGAGGTATAAGCATAAGGCTGTCCATCCTATAGCCACCAGAAGCACGCAGAACGAGGCAAATTTAAAGCAGAGCTCTATCTAGCTTTTCATCCATATCTCTTCCATGGTTTCAGATTGCTCCCTGATCCCACTAGCCAAAATGCCTGCTCAGAACAGTGTCTAACAGCTTTCTTCTAGTAAGGCTCCTTCACCTGAAATCCAGTTCTACATACATGTGAATTTATTTTACAGAAAACTACACTGGCAGCCACCAAGACCTCTGACATCTCCAGATCCTATTAACTTGTCTCAATCCTTTCAAAGAATGAGAAACCTAAAAAATTAGGTCAGTAGGTAGTTCAAATGACATTATTGTCATTTCACATTGTATCATCAGGGACTTGAACTCAACTTGCATCTTGAGATACTGGCTATCCACGCAGGTTCCACAACGTGTGCGTGCACACGTACCAAGCAGATCTCTCTAGTGCTTTCTGCTACAGCGCTGAAGGAAGGGAAAGCCAGAGTAGGTAAGCCTATACAAAGTTTTGCTCTAAACAAAGTTCTATGACAAGATAGAAATTAACAATTACAAAAAGGAAAAAGAGGAGAAAGTTAAAATCTCAGGTGTGGACCACCTAAAATATGCTAAGAATGCTAAAAAACCCTCCTGGCCAGCTCTGTCTAGCTATCAATTTTTAATCATCAAAAGCAGATATCTAGATTCTTATTTCAAAATTGGTTTAAAAAGATGACCAAAATAGGACCAAAGCTAATTTAAACCAATTAGAAAATGGCAAAGCTAGTAGGCATATATGCCACATGTGACTGCAAAACACTTTCTCTCTTCATAGCATCCATAGTCTTTCCAATATACAGGCTGGATAATGCTCAGAAAGTGAAGCAGCTATGAAACACCTGCTATATCCCTCATTGTGCTGCCCCATCTCTTGTCAATCATTCAGATGATGCACTGAATTTCTCACTTGAATTTTCCCTA